CCCCAAAACCCCAAAACCCCAAAACCCCATAAGCATAGATTTGTTGTTTTTGTGCTGGTAGAGTATTATGAAATTAAATTTATCTTAAGGTTTATCATCTATGTTAAGAACGAGATGAAAAATCAATCTCATTAAAGGAAGTTGCTAGAAAATGAATTGGTGGCATACTTTTGAATAAGGTTCATTGCATCAACTGTAAAGAATGACATATCCTTTGCAATCAAGAAAGATTAATGTCCAAGCTTATACTGTTTATAGTAGACCACATTATCACCTAATTATTAATTCAACCAATCTGCATCAATAACTGTACTCAGTACATCTAGTTACCCAACAAAAAGAGCAATTGGGATGCCTTTTATTTGCTCTAAGGGATATAGAGGAGGGATTGTTGAATTGTATCTAAGGCTATTCATATCATACCCTAAGTCATATCTTGCAAATCTGTTTGAATTAATAATCTAGGCATAATGAATGAAGTTTCTGTAACCTGAGCCTGAGGGAGTATGTGTAAGGTATGTCTCAACTCTTTTAAGGTTATCTACACTTGCATCCATATCGGTGAAAGTCTAGAAGAACTGCTTGCATATCATACCTCCAAGAGTGGTGTCACAGAATTTAGCTGTGATCTAGTCCATCAGCCAGTTCGGTGCGAATAGGTTGTATAGTCCTAAATCAACAAGAAGTTTTTCTATTAATCCGGATTAAGAAGAAATTGTCTTCATTAGAGGAGAGTATACATGACTCATACGTGCAATAGGCGCAAATGCAATGAACAGATTTATTTTTTATTTGAAGTAATCATTCTTCATTGAGGCACCGATAAACATTTGAGTTGTACCCATTGAATGGCCTACATATGAAAGCTTTTCTTATCCAGTGGTCTTTAAAATATAGTCAATCTAAGCAGGTAAGTCATTCAGACCCATTTCTTCGAATGAAAAATGCCAGAAGTCATATTTTTGACCTGGGTCGTTTAAGTCAAGGGTCTCATGTTCCATACTGTATTGATTACCTCTGTTATTTCCTAGCCAGACATCATAACCTTATCTTACTAATACGAATACATGAGCTACTTCTTATGAATTGAGCATCCAGTTAGAGGCATCACCATCAATGCCATGCTGCATCAGCACGACTGGTTTCTTTATGGGATCAACGAAAGTTTGATAAAAGTAGCCTGGAACTCTGAAGAGGGTTAAAATGTACCCATCAGCTGTAGTCACTTTATGTTCTTAGACCTCGAATCCATATTCAGAGCATATTTTCTTAATGCTTTTGTTAGCATCGTTGTCTTCTGGATCCAATTTAGTATTGTTGATAGTAGACTTCATATCCAATAAACTAGACTGAACATAACTGAGCACCATCAAAGTGAGTGTAAGATATTTCATCGTAAAATATTATTTATAAATCCTTTTCAATTTATAATATTATAAATGCTTTTATTATTTGTTTAGATTCTATAATTATCATCGCTATTATAAGTTACTGGGGTTTTGGGGTTTTGGGG